CCGCCTAGCCAGCTGGCACTGGGTGGCTCTCCTCCCATGCACTTTCTTCCCTTCTCACTGGCAGCGGGAAGCTGCCAAGGAGAGGGTCCCGTGATGGACACTACAGACCTGGCCCGGCTCTGCCCAGCACCTTCACCTTCTTTAACCATATCAGGGCTCTGTGGAGAGCACATATATGCTCGACCCCACGGACCAACCCCTCCATTCTGTTTTCTGACTGTAATATTACTCTAGGTCTCTGCAGAATTCTCGTTTGTTCGGATATTTTTTTTATTACTTGCTAAGAGGCTTCACTCAGTGGGTCATACAGCAATCACAGCAGCATTTTCTGAACATCAGAGGGTGAGACAGTAAGCCCGGTGTCCTGGCGGGGAAATGGATCGATGGCCCGTGGTTAGAAAACTTACATGGAGTATCAGCAAGGACCTAGTTTTATTAAGTGAGGTTTGAAGAAGCAGAAATTGCATTGAGTAGCAGTGGGTTCCGTGCTAAGGAGCTCTGTGCGAGGATCCCTGTGGTTAACAAGATCTGTAACAAGGATCTACCTCCTCTTTGTCACGGATCCTGTCTCAGCAGGCATCCCTGCAGGTGGGACACAGCCAGCCTGGGACACTTTACTGCGGCATGCAGACCACTCTGGAGCCCCAGGCCGTGCTGTGTTTCAGGCTTTTCCTTGTTCCTCCAACCTGAGGACTTTTCTTGGATGCTCCATTGTTGTCAGCCAGCCTCGAGTTTCCTGGCTGTTTCTCTTACAGCGGTAATTAGCAAACTAGCTGGGGAGGTCCAAGCAAAGAAGAATAAAGGCCTCATTCCAGCCACTTGGACATGGATGTAAGAGTTTGGTGCAGTGGATTGTTTTAGCACAAATGGACAGGGAACTATCTAGTCTAAATTTAAGCAGATAGGTCCCTAAATAATCCTGCCTTAAATTCGACGTGGACCATTTTCTAAGCCCGTGTGTGCCATCTTCCCTTCTGAAGTTTCACATCCTTTCTTGCAACCAAATTGCATTCCTAGCTCTGAGCAGAGCTTGCTGGCCAGGACAGTGGACTCTTGGCATGTTCATTAATGTCATGTCACCTGAGGGGTAGTAGCAGAACCCTGAGGTTCTGCAGGAGGACAAATATGTAGAGGTTTTATATTCACATTGAATAATTGCCATTAAAAGAAGAGAGGCAGGGTTGGAGATCAGCTGGGCATAACAGTAAATTGGTTTTCTAATCAAATTGGGAGACTTTGTAGAAGCCTCATTTTCTCTAACAGGCTGGGCTCTCCACCGGTTGGCTCAAAGTGTTTATGAACCTGGTGGGCAGGTGCAGCTTCTTGGGGACTCTGGCAGTCCTTGTGGCTTCTTCTCATCCAGAATGGCCATTGTCATTATAAACAATCTCCTCCAAAGCTCTTTTGTATTGTAAGTTTTTCCTCAAAAGGCTTTTCTCTCTGGTGATACTTGGGGAGGGGGAGCGCAAGAATGAGTGAGTGGGAGTAGGTTATACTTCTGGCCTAATGCTAACTTATTTTCCACAGTGGAGTTTCCCAGCTGGGCCAGGCAGTGGGGAAACAGGTGGTCAGACCAGGGCCCCACCCGGAAAGCCCACCAGGGAAGCTTAGATATGAGTGACCTCATTCATCTCTAAGTAGCCCGTGCTTCATCTTTCTCGGTGTGTAATGGCCAAGTTTCTGTTACCTGCTGAGCAGCTCCATTGGTTAAAGTGTCTGACCAGTGTCATCCATGTTCAGGGAGAAACTCCTGGGGGAAGGAGTTGGTATTTATTGAGCACTTGCTATGCTGCGCGCTGAGCAAGGTGCTTTAACAGGTTCTTCTTTACTCCTCACAATATTGTGAGGCAGGGTACTCCTACTGTCCCCATCTGGTAGCTGAGGAAGCTGAGCTCTGAGAGGGAGATATCACATGGCCAGTCAGTGGTGCAGCTGGATTTGGAACCCAGACCTAGTGGATTCCAAAACTCTTGCAGTTGGACACACGGCCTCTCCCTTCCCCAGTGCCCCAAACAGTGTCATTACACACACTTGCATGCACACACACACACTTACAGTTATTAAGTGCCTATGTTTCTAGTATTGTGCTAATTTCCCAAAACAGCATGTTGCATAACTACAATGGTATGAGGACTTTCGAATGTGTTGTGTCTTATGAGATAATTAGTCACCACTCACTAGATGTCAGCAGGGACACTGCAGAAACTGACAGTGGGCTTCCTTATTTCCCCACTTCCCTCCATCTCCCTGCCCCGCCCTGCTTCCAACATGCCATGGGGATCTTTGTAGCTCTTATGCAGTTGACATGACCTGGGTTAATAAGATCTAATCGTTCACAACAGAGCCATGCGCCCAGATGTCAGATGTGAACCCTGCAGTTCTTCCTGACCTTGGAGAGAGGGCAGAAAATGGGGCTGCCGGCGAGCACTGTGGCCAGTTTCAGGGTTCAGGCCCCTCTGGAGGAGATTTGAGCTGTTAGAGCAAAGCCCTCTGGTAATGAGGCCATTTGTCCTTAGGAACAGAGTGAGTCCTTGTGAGATCAGAAACAATGGGCATGTTGAGTCCAGACCTGGGGTGAATGGAAGTCCAGGCAGAGGCACATGTGATGAATTGGGACAGTTCATTCTTTACAGGCAAGTTTCTGTTGTCAACAGATCCACTCAGTGGTAAAGATACTTAGTCAACCGTCCTTTTTGAATAATTTCCCGAAGTGACTAAGTCATGAACTCGGAGTTTTTTTCTTCTTGCATTTTAATTAGTAGGGTTTATTTTACCTAGAAATGACCCTCTGAGAAAATGGATGAAAAATAAGTTTGGGTAGCAACCTGTTATTTTTTGTGGCATTGTTTCCTTTTATAGTCTCCTCTACCCACGAAGCAAGTACTCGGTGTCTCTGCTGGTAATTTGATTCCCAGGCAATAAAATTAGGTGTTGCTGCTCTTTACTGTTAAGCAGAAACTCTTGGTGCAAGTTTTTCAAAACTCAGCTGGTCCCGTATCCACACAGCAGGCAGAGAGACCCGTAAACTGTAAAAAGCGCAGCCGGTCCCATCTCCTCGTCGGGCCCCGTGCGGTCCCTTTTTCTGGAGGAGAGAAGGGGCGGGGCGCCCGGGGCCGGGCGGCGGGGAGCAGGGAGCGGGGCGCGCGGCCTCTAGCCTCTGTCGCGCCGCCCGCAGGTCAGGGTAACCACGGGTCGGGCCCGCGAGTTTGGGGGAGACCTGGAA